AGGACGTCCTTCTTCACCCAAAGAGTGATTAACACTTGGAATTCACTGCCACAGGAAGTGGTGGGTGCTACAAGCATGGATGGCTTCAAAAGGGAATTAGATAAGCATATGGAGCAGAGGTCCATCAGTGGCTATTAGCCACAAGGTATAGCTAGGGGCTCTGGGGCAAGTGATGCTCTGTCTTCTTGGTGCTTGGGGGGGGGGGGTCAACAGGGGGGGGGCTTCTAATGTCCTGGCCCCACTGGTGGACCTCCTGATGGCACTGGTATTTCTGGCCACTGTGTGACACAGAGTGTTGGACTGGATGGGCCTTTGGCCTGATCCAACATTGGCATCTCTTATGTTCTTATGTTCTTATGCACCAGAGAATTTGCTCGTGTTTGTTAGAACAGGTGGAGTCGGCCTCCCATATATTACTCCATTGTCCTATGTACGATGAAGAGAGACAGCAGTTGTTGATACCCCTTCTCTCACGTTTTAAACCCTTGGCTAATTATCTTACATATGCCGAGGAATGTTTGATGAAGTTCTTATTGGCCGATACTTATGATTCTGTCTCGCGCAATGTTGCTAAGTATTGTTATCTGGTAATTAAAAAGCGTAGAATGTACTGTAACTCGAGCCATTAATGATGGAATTGACCGGTTTCGTATTTTAGAATTTAAGGCTGCAAGGATTGTATGTCGTAGACTCGGTGTTGTACTATTTTGGTTTATTTTGCTGGTCTTATGACTGTTCTTAATAAATTTGTTTGTTTGTTTGTTTGGAGTACTCTCTGTGTCAAGGTGAGTCTGGTCAACTTTGCTTTATCGAAAGAAACCCCGGATGTGGGTTTTAAAACCAGCTCAGTTCGCCTGAACCAACAGCTCCCCTGCTACGCTTGTTCTTAGCCGAAAGGCTGAGAACTGACGGTATAACAGGTGACTGCCACTGTTCCCTCTAAGCTCAGTTAGTGTGAGCTAACTCACAGGGTTTTTTTAGCCTCTGGCTCACACATTTTTGCCTTACCTCAGGAAGGATGGCTCCAGAACAAACTAATTTATGCAGTCGCCAAGTCACCTGCTCACAACTTTCATGCCAGTAGCTCAGAAAGTAGAATTTTTGCTCACAGGACTCCACAGCTTAGAGGGAGCAAGCTGGAGACCGGAACGGTTACTAATAATCTATGCTCTGTCAGCCACGGCTGCTTCTAAACAGTATGTTCAGTCCTGCAGCCGAGAGAAGGTTTGGATGAGGAGAAAGCAGGGACGGTGGATATCAAGTACTTATGATTTGATAACAGGCGCTAGAAGACTTCTATAACAGAAGCCGGAAGGTAATAGGGCAGAGAACAGGTATATGCCGTATGCTGACATTAGTGCTATAGTATCTTGCCGGACCTCGTTGGTGATTTGTTTACACTTTGTACCTAATAAAAAACAATAGAGGAAGACTGGACCTGCACTGCATTACGTGCTCTTGAAACTGGGTTTTTCAAAAGGCTCAAGTCCCAGGAGACTGCAGACCAGGCTTGGATAGAGCACAATATTTTATCCAGATGAAGGTAAACTGATATATATGAAAGCCCTAATGTGTTGGCACTTTCCAGCTCTCCCACTGGCTGTGCTGTGCGCTCCATCGGCCATTGGCCCATCAACCGCCAATCAAGAATACTCGCGTGCCATTGGCTGGGTGCTGGGTCCACTCGCCTTCCCCACCCACTGCCGCCTCAGCCACTGTTCCCTGTCAGAATAAACTGCCAAAACAGCTGTCTCTCTTGACAAAGACACTTCTCCACCTGGCTGGCTACTGAAACAACTGTTCCCTGTTCAGGAAGAGGCTTCTAGTTTCTTATAAAATGGCGCACACACCAAACTCCCAACAGCTTCCTTCTCCTTCTGGGAACCCATCCACGAATCCCATTTTGGACACACTGGGAATTTCCACGCCCTGCTCCCACTTCAGAGCCATAAACGCCACCCCGCTCCCCCGGAGTTCTTTATTCAGCCTCCTGTGACCCAAAAACCTACCGTCATGGACCAGAACACATTTTGGCGACTCTAAACCTGATGCATTTTATATCACCTCTGTCAAAAGTGCTAAACAGATTCTGTTAATGAAGAAGAAGAAAAGGAGGAGGAGGAGGAGATTGAATTTATACTCCACCCTTCACTCAGAGTCTCAGAGCGGCTTACAAACTCCTTTCCCTTCCCCTCCCCACAACAGACCCCCTGTGACTTGGCGGGGCTGAGAGAGCTCTTTCCAGGACTCCTCGTGAGAGTACAGCTCTGACAGAACTACGGCTTGCACAAGGTCATCCAGCAGCTGCACGTGGAGGAGTGGGGAATTAAACCCGGTTCTCCCAGATTAGAGTCCGCGCACTTAACCACTACAACAAACTACTGCCTGCAAAGGAAATGCCAGCGTTTAGCATTCAAAACGGCGGTTGTGATCTGACGCAAGCAGTACGAGGAAACGTATTCCGGTCTTTTAGACTTACTATTAAATACTTCTCTTGGCCGTTGACTTGCGCTGTGTTGATTGTATAGACCGTCTGCTTACCCGGGGATTTCTTTTGGGCCTGGAAACAGAAGGAAGCACAGGATACTTAGGGGTTTACTGCTCCTAGGAGCCCGTATGTAGAGTTATAGCTTTAGAAGGTTTCAAAATGGGCTTTGCTTCTGGAGCCTAGGGAGCGTGTTCAGCTGGGGCCAGGGCGATGGGCCCTTTTAGACCGGGACCCGCCAAGCGACAAGAGCGGCACAAGACAAGGAGATCAGTCTTCAAAAGCCGCCTCTGTCCAAAATTTTGCTAGGCAGCCAGAGGAAAGCCCGTCTTCCCAAATGCAATGTGGAGACCGCAGTGCTGACCAGCCTTGCAGGGCTGTCGTACGAACGGAGGTGTCAAACCCTGCTACGCTTTGCTTGCCACTGTTGCTGGGGGGAGGGAATTCCTAAGGGGGAGGGGGGTGGAGTGAGTGAGTGAGTGTGGAGACTGAGACCTTTCGCTTTTAGGAGATGTAATGTCACAAGTCAGCTTCCTTTCCCTCATTTTTACTTTCCCAGGGGGAGGTGTCCTTGAGAGACTCTCTGTACCAACTTGGACTGCAGATAACCAAGACATATATAGGTGTACTTGAGAGGCTCTCTGTACCAACTTGGACTGCAGATAACCAAGACATATATAGGTGTCCTTGAGAGGCTCTCTGTACCAACTTGGACTGCAGATAACCAAGACATATATAGGTGTCCTTGAGAGGCTCTCTGTACCAACTTGGACTGCAGATAACCAAGACATATATAGGTGTCCTTGAGAGGCTCTCTGTACCAACTTGGACTGCAGATAACCAAGACATATATAGGTGTCCTTGAGAGGCTCTCTGTACCAACTTGGACTGCAGATAACCAAGACATATATAGGTGTCCTTGAGAGGCTCTCTGTACCAACTTGGACTGCAGATAACCAAGACATATATAGGTGTCCTTGAGAGGCTCTCTGTACCAACTTGGACTGCAGATAACCAAGACATATATAGGTGTCCTTGAGAGGCTCTCTGTACCAACTTGGACTGCAGATAACCAAGACATATATAGGTGTCCTTGAGAGGCTCTCTGTACCAACTTGGACTGCAGATAACCAAGACATATATAGGTGTCCTTGAGAGGCTCTCTGTACCAACTTGGACTGCAGATAACCAAGACATATATAGGTGTCCTTGAGAGGCTCTCTGTACCAACTTGGACTGCAGATAACAAAGACATATATCTTTCACTTGGCTGGGATGGCAACGTTAGCTGTGGTGTGAATGTGACATGTGCTTGGGGGAAGGAAAAGGGGCTTTTCTTTGAATTATCTATATTAAGCTTGTACCTGCCAAAAGTCTTCAGTTCTAACACAGTGGCTTTCTGGATCTTGCATGTAACTCAATGAACTTATCACTGCCAAGGGAGAGCTGTTGAGTGTAACTGGACCGGGGGTCTGACAGAAGGGCTCTGAACACTCACTACAGGTAGGCTGGGGGTCTGATGCCATTCACGAGGGCACAGGGTGGCGACAGAAATAAAAGTACGGGACAAAACCACGACCAGAAAACCCTGGACATTGAACAAACGCTTTTAAGTGTCTTGTACAGAGTTAGATGGAGCTGTGGTGGCTCAAGTGGTTAAGACGCTGAACTGCAGGCTATGGAAGGTCGGTAGTTCAGCAGTTCGAGACCCGAGTGTGCCGCATGATGGAGTGAGCGCCCGTCTCTAGTTCCAGCTCCTGCCAACCTAGCAGTTCGAAAGCAAGACATTGCAAGTAGATAAATAGGTACCACTTCGGTGGGAAGGTAACACCGTTGCGTGCGCCTTGGTGTTTAGTCATGCCGGCCACATGACCACGGAAACGTCTTCGGACAGCGCTGGCTCTTCGGCTTTGAAACGGAGATGAGCACCGCAACCCTAGAGTCGGATTCGACTGGCTTTCGAGCAAGGGAACCTTTACCTTTACTTAGATCCTTCATCCATCGTGGTGATTATTGCATACTGGCTGGCTGATTCACCACCTAACACAGATCTATAAACCGGAAAAGCTGGGGATTGAGTCTGGGACTCTCTGCATACAAAGCAGGTGGTCTCCCACTGCGCTAGAGCCACCCTCCCCAGAGCTCTGCACTGGGTTCCGTTTGATTCTCAGCCTCAGTCCCACCCACCCCCAGCAAAATGGGAATAATGACCTTCACCGACAAGTGAATGTGGAATCGCTTTCATAGGCAGTTTGCAATTTTCAACAGGCTCATCGCCAGTGAAACGATGCATTAGCCTTGGGGAACTGAAGCTGAGAGAGAAAGTGACCTCACCAAGGCCATGCAGAGCAGGGTTCCCCAACACGGTGCCCACGGGCGCCCGCCAACACCTTTTTCTGGTGCCCGCCAAGTGTTTTTAGGAAGTGAATCGGGCCAGGTAGGGCTTTTGCCCAGCAAGGCTGTGCCGATTTTTTGTAAGTGCTGCTGTGGCGGCAGCTGCTACCACAACACAAGGTGTGTTACTGATGTTAAAGCTGTGACGGTCATTTTTGTGGCTGGCTCCGCCTCCTGCAGCAGCCATTTTGTGGCAGCCATTTTGTAGCTGCGCCTCCATACCGTGGCAGGTTTTCACATGTGGCCACATGCTCAAAAAAGGCTGGGGAACCCTGAGGTAGTGAATTGGGGGGGGGGGAATAGAACCCACACTGCTATACCAGAAATGTGGGGTTTTCCTACACGTGTCTTTCCCGGGCACAGTTCTGCTTGCCTTCAAGCCATGGTAGAGAAAACGGGCAGACTTGGCATTCTCCTTCGTCCAGGGCTCTTTTTGTAGAAAAAGCCAAGCAGGAACTCATTAGTATAATAGGCCACACCCAACAGCAGGGACTCATTAGCATATTGGGCCACACCCCTGACAGCACAGCTCATTAGCACATTAGGCCGCACCCCCATGTTATCAGAAGTGTGGTCATCCAGCCACACCCACCTCTTGCTTGTTATTCTGTTTACCTTGTTTGTTGTCAAACCCAGGGCCTTTTTTTGGAGCAGGAACTCCTTTGCATGTTAGGCCACACACCCCTAATTGTAGCCAATCTTAATGAGTTTCTGCTGTTGGGCGTGGCCTATTATGATAATGAGTTCCTGCTGGGCGTGGCCAACTCGGGAGCCAGACGGAACTCCGTTCCTGTGCGTTCCCGCCCAAAAATAGCCCTGCCTTCGTCCCTGCAAACAGGAAGCGAGGAAAGGGAATCCGGAGGCTCACCTCTAGGTTCTTTCCCAGGAAGGCCTGCAGAAAGGCAGATTTGCCGGCTCCCGGGGACCCGATCACCTTGCACAGGAAAACGTTCCGGTGAGTCTGGCCCTTCTCCAAGTCGGTCCTTTTCTCCCGGGTCACTGGCGCGAGAGAAGGCAGAGAAGAATACAGAAGATCAACCCCTTTCCTTCCACCCGTGCAGCCAGAGGAGAAGGGCAGGCACAGCGTTGACTGGTCCCCTTGGGGAGACCAGGAAAGGGGGAGGTATTTGTGAATTTCCTGCCTTGTGCAGGGGGTGGGACTAGATGACCCCGGAGGTCCCCCTCCAACTCTACGATTCTACGGTTCTTTGATTCTAAGGGAACCGACAGACATTAACGCGATGGCCACGATGTCTTCCACTAAGAGCACAACGATCTTATTCTGTTGAGATAAGCCTACTGCCTGAATTCCCGAGGGCACAGATCGTGGAGTCTGGAGGTCAGACTGCTTCTCCCAGGAAAACCAGCTTTGTTTGCTGAAGGTGCTTAGGCTGGGCTTCTCGAGCCAAAGCCGAAATGGTGCTGGGAGAAGATTCGTGGAGAGTTTCACGAACTTTTCGCTTAAAAGAGGAGGCAGAACGAACGAGTGAGAGAGAGACTGTAAAATGGTTTCCTGAAAGAGACCGCAGTATTTTCCTCTAATCTGACAATCTTCCCTAACCTGCTACAATCTTTTACAACCAAACCACAAAAAGGATGTACCGCTTGGGCCATCTTTATTCTTGTTAGGAGAACGATCCTACGAAATGTTGTCCGATGGCAACAACTGTCTTACAAAGGGAGTTTATATACCCTGAAACTCTCGAAGGCTTATACGGCCTGAAACTCTCGTTGGACTAGATTCTAACAATCCTATTCATGGATTCTCCCTCTTTTCAGGTAGACCAAAGCTGGCAAGCACAGGTGACGGGGCTAGCTTTGGAGGCTCTCTTTGCTCCTGAGTTGTTCGGCTGCCCCTACCACCCACAATACCGAGTTCTGTTTTCAACACGGAAGCAGGGGCTCAGCATAGAATCATAGAGTTGGAAGGGACCTCCAGGGTCATCTAGTCCAACCCACTGCACAAGGCAGGAAATGTACAAATCACTGACACGCCCAGAAGATGACAAAAAAAACCTCCAGGATCTCCAGCCAAACTGGCCTGGAGAAAAATGGCGTCCTGACCAATGCTCCCTCCAAGCTGTGGAGTCCTGTGAGCAAAAATTCTACTCTGTGAGCGACTGGCATTAAAGTTGTGAGCGAGCGATTGGGCTATGGCGTGATTTAGTTGGCTCCGTATCCAACCTCCCTGAGCTAAGACAAAAACATGTGAGCCGGAGGCTCAAGAACTGTGAGCTAGCTCACACTAATTTGTCTTACAGGGAACACTGTTCCTGACCCCAAAGTGGAGATCGGCGTTCCCCTGGCCGTGTAAGGAAGGGCCACGAGAACTAAGCCCTGATGCAACTAGAGATGTAAACTTTCCGGAAATTTTGAAGCTCGGGAAAACCCCCAGGTTTTTTCCGTTTTTTTTTCGGGGGAGAAACTGAAATTTTCGGGAAAAATTGAAAAAAATGCTACATTAGCATTTCTTTTGTCTTTTCTAAATTGAAAGTCATTCTGTTACTTTAGGAACATAAAATATGACTATGGACATTTTTACTTGGCATGAAATTATCACAACTAGCATATTAAAAATATAGTATATCCAAACAATTATTACAAACAGAATACCCACCCACATGCAAACACAAAACTGAACCCTTTTTATTTTCTTCTGACAATAGCACCTCCTAAAGGAAGAAATGCATCTTGTTCTTGCATTGGAGAGTTCAGTTTGTAACCTAGGACTTGCTTGTCCTCAGTGCACAGAAATTAGATCAATCTGATACCATATATATATATATATATTTTAGAAATGATTTGGAAAACATTTGAACACCTTGTCTTAAAATATTGTATCCGTCATGTTAAAATAAAACGTTCCATATTCAATTTTTTTTTCTTTTTTCCATTTTTCAAATTTTTCGGAAAAAAACAAAAAGACTTCAGGAAAAAAATGTTTTTTTCCCGAATTTTTCCGGGCCTTCACATCTCTAGATGCAACCCTTCCTGCCCTCCCACTCGTGATCTGCCTAAGTTCACAGAATCAGCACTGCTGTCCAATGGCCGTCTAGCCTCTGCTTCAAAACCTCCACAGCAGGAGAGCCCGCCGCCTCCCGAGGAAGCCTGTCCATCGGCCATACTGTGCTGACAGCAAGAAAAGGAAGATGCCGCCGCCACTGCCACCACTCCGTCCCAAACACAGGGCAGATGCTCAGGAGCGACCCACCTGTGATGGCGTGAACCTGAGAATCCTGCTCAGAGAAGATGGGGTAGCCCAGGTAACCCAGGTGTTCCAGACACCGATGGACCTCCAGGTAGGCCACGAGCCTAGGGAAAGCCAAGCAGAGAGGAGGCCGCCCGTCAGAGGGACCACGGGGAGCGCCAGCCGGGCGTGGAGAGAACGGGTATCAAGGAGGGAGGGGGGAAGAGGGGCTTGCGCTTACGTCCACTGGCAGAGGAATCCATGCAGGGAAAGCAGGCCTTTATCAGTGGTGCATACCGTGTGGTAGAGCTCGGGCCCCCAGGGCATGTAAGGGAAGACGCCGAAGCAGCTCTGCAGCTCCGCAGGGGAGAGGGCACCGTCGCGGTCCTGGGGGAAGAGGAGACGGGTCAACAGAGGAGTTAAGAACATCAGAGGAGCCATGTTGGATCAAGCCAGTGGCCCACCCAGTCCAACTCTGTGTCACACAGGGGCCAAAACCCAGGGGCCGTCAGGAGGCCCACCAGCAGGGCCAGAACTCCAGAAGCTCTCTCGCTGTCACCCCCCAAGCACCAAGAAGACAGAGCATCACTGCCCCAGGCATAAGAACAGAAGAGAAGCCATGTTGGATGAAGTCAATGGCCCACCCCGTCCAACACTCTGTTTCACACAGCGGCCAAAAATACCAGGTGCCATCGGGAGGTCCAACAGTGGGGCCAAAAGTCCAGAAGCCCTCCCCCTGTTGCCCCCCCCCCCCCAAGCACCAAGAATACAGAGCATCCCTTGCCCCAGACTGAGAGTCCCTATCTACACCTTGTGGCTAAGAGCCACTGATGGACCGCTGCTCCATGTGTTGATCGAGTCCCCTCTTGCAACTGCCCATGCTTGTAGCCACCACCACGGTGGTAGCTGAGTCCACAGGAACTCCGGAGACCAAACGTCAGCTCTGAAAAACCTTTTCCTTGCAGCACCGCTCTGAAAAGGGGGATCTCTGTCTAGCCTCAACTGTCAAACCAACAAACCTCTATTCCCTGTCAGCGAAACAGATCCTCCATGTCCAGAGGCAGTCTACCCCTGAGCCCGACTGCCAGGAACACTACAGGCTTCGTGCAGGCACGGGCCTGGAAGCAGAATGCTGGAGGAACCCTGGCCCAACCGGCCGGAGCTCAGCTGGGGAGGGGCCCCTTGAGGGGGTGAAGGCAGGAACCGGGAAGCCGTGATTCCACAGCTGAGATTAAAGGATGCAACCGACGGGGCCCAGCAACGCACGGGTCACGCGGGGGAGCCTGCTCCGCTCACCTTGTCGTGCTTCTCAAAAATCTTCTGCAAGAACTGGTAGCCAAAGTGATTGAGCTCGGTGGAGCAGTCGTGGGGCACCCGGATCCTGGGAGAGAAAAAGGCCGGGTGGTTAGGAGCAGTGTTCCCTGTAAGCTGTGGAGTCTTGTGAGCAAAATTTCTACTTTGTGAGCGACTGGCATTAAAGTTGTGAGCGAGCGATTTGGCGACTGCATCAATTAGTTTGCTTTGGAGTCGTCCTTCCTGAGCTAAGACAGAAATGTGTGTGCCGGAGGCTAAAAAAACTGTGAGCTAGCTCACACTAACTCAGCTTAGAGGGAACACTGGTTCAAAAAGTGCGCTGGAACTTCTGAAGCGTCCTTGAGAACAACCGGGGGTGTGAACGGGTGCAAAGAGTCCGGGCGTGCAAAGGGCAGCTGGGGTCCAGCCCCCCCCCTCCTTTAAGGAAAATCGACTAGGCTCAGTTGTGTAGTGGTACAGCACAACTCTGTATGGAAGAAGAAGAGGTTGTATTTATACCCCGCCCTTCACTACCCGAAGGGAGTCTCAGAGCGGCTTACAGTCTCATTTCCCATCCCATCCCCACAACAGATGCCCTGGGAGGCAGGTGGGGCTGAGAGCAGCTCTCTTGAGGACTGCCCTGGAGAGAACAGCTCTGAGAGAACTTGTGACTGACCCAAGGTCACACCTGCAGGTGCATGCGGTGTGTCAGGTCCCCAGCTAAGACACTCTCCACACACACTATTGGCAGTGTGATGCTTTATTAGAGATTTGCTTGCTGTAGGTACAAAACTTTTGTTAGGACTGTGGAAAACGGCGGGAACTCACAGGTTATAGGCAAAAGCATGACGTTCCACACAATCATACGTCACACCTACCCCCCCCCCCAGCGTTTTTACAGCAACACAGACAGATATGGGGTGCCCTATCAAACCTAGCCTAGGCACAGAAAGTCTCCAAGGTCAATCTCATGAGAACTAACTCTCGGGGCACAACTTGAGAGACTGTTACGGCTACTACCCCCATACCCTCACAAAACACACCCAAAGGGAAGGAAGCGGAACTTAGGGAAACGAAAGTTAGGCCTCAGCTTGGCATGGAGGAGTGGGGAATCAACGCCAATTCTCTCGGATTAGAATCCACACTCCTAACCACTGCACCAAACTGGCTCTCAGAAGGTAAGGAACAGAACGGACCCCTGAGAGAGTAGTTGGGAATCAGAGGACTGTTAGGATGAACGGCTCATTGCGTCCCCCCCCCCCAGTCCCTCAAAGCCAGTGTTCCTTTGTGGC